TATAAATTAGATTTTGTTATGTTAGACATGCGTTGGTAGAGTTAGAATAATATGAGTAGATAGATTTTTATTTTTTCTGTTGAATTATAATCTTAGTCTTTATTCTACTTCAATACACTTTGGATTTGTTTTTATTTTACTTTTATTGCAACAACACAGTGAGTTTAAATCCTATTTTGGTTTATTAAATGTGCAATTTGATTATTGTAAGTTTGAAAATTGATTATTTTAAACTTTGTTTCTATAATTATAATATAGATCTTTTAACCACTATGAAGACTTTTTAATATAAAAAAGTTAGTAATGTGATAGAAAAAATGAGACAAAAAAAGGAAAGTAGATCATCCAAAATATTTCCTTTTTAAGTTTATAAATACAATGAACTTTTAAGGAGTGTTGGATAAAAATGAATAAAAGTTGAAATACATGGAAATTAAATCTTAAAAAAAGATTTAAACATATCCTCTTATTGTTAAAAAAGAGAAAATAAATAAGAATATCGATTTTTATTTTATTTTATTATTTTTTTAGTACAACTATTTTATTTCAATTTTTTTCTTATAGGTCCTGAAATTTCAATTTCATGCTTATAGATTCAAGGTTTTTAAACTATAAATTCTATTTCTAACTGGTTCTTGGACTTTTAATTTTGTGTTTAATAGTCCTTAAYTTATTTGGAATTTTGAAAAACTCTCTTACTCATTAGACACATAATTGAAAGATTAATWCAAAGAAAAATTAAAAAGAATAAAGAGAAAAATTGATTGAAAATAAAAAAAAAAACAATATTTAAGTACTTTTGGATCAATATGGTGATCACGAATAAAAATTTGACAAGGTTTTAAATATTTTAGAAATAAAAATAGGGGAAGTAATTATTATGTTGGAGGTGAGGTGAGTAATGATAGCTCATCAATGTGTTGCAGTAAGAAGTAATAATTTGGGGGACAAAGTAAAGTAATTGGCTTTATTGTTTAGTGCAATTATTCTCAACCCCAATAACTCCTAAAATCACTCGCACCTTTTGTTTACTTTTACCCTATTTTTCAAATTTCATAAATATAGCTGCTTTGGTTTGAATTTAGTTTCAACTTGATAGATCAAAAGTCTTTMGATTTTGATTTATTTGTATTTGGTCTTTCAAATAAAAAAAGAAATGACATTTTTTATCCTTATCCTTGGTTGATTTAACAGAAATATGAGATAGATGAATGAAATATTTCTCATAGATTGTAATACTATCGACTTTTTGTGGGATGTTTTTAACTAGGTTGGGAACTACGACGAGTCTAACAATAGTGGCACTGGGTCATATTTTTGTTGAATCAACTAATGGTCAATGGACTAAATTGGTCTTGTTTCAAAAAAAAAATTGACTAAATTAGTTTGATGTAATGTGGTTGACCTTGGATATAATATCAACATGTCACATCAATATTTTGTTAAAGGTTTTAATATAGAAACCAAATAGAAACGTCAAAGCTTGTATAACTCAATAGTAATTGATATAATATATCTAAAATCAAGAATTTGTGAGTTTAATCACTCGTCTCCACATGTTGTACTCAAAAAATAAAAAGTAGAAACCAGATAGAAACATAATTCAAAGTTTAGAAACATTGACTAAATTAATAATTTAACCTAAAAAATTTGTTTGAATAGCCATATTTTTTTTAGAAGCTATTGTTTCTTATTCTCGTTTAATGTGTTATCACAAGTGATCTAACTTTTTTATTTGTCAGAAAAACCAACCTTCCTAGAAAAAGAAGAATTTGATGGGTGTTGTCTAATGTTCAACTTTTTCCTTTTAAYGGCTAAGTTAAACTCGATAAAAAYGTTAGATATTTGAATTCTCACTAACCCATGTTAGAACTTAAAAACTCCCTCCAAAGCCTCGTGATGATTCTTTGGTTTTCTAGTTTTTGCGATTCATCTAGGGGCTACAATAATCTACATGCTTTAGTTTTTGTTTRATTTGTGATAATGGGAACCTGATTTTAAAAAACTCTCTAAATGAAAGATAAAATTGAAATTCTTTAAAAAGTAAAAAAGAGAAATATCACAGACGAAGCCTCCAAAGGAGTAGCTCAAATTGGTAAGGGCTTGGGGTCTCTTAGTCATATTGGCTTAGAGGTCTCAAGTTTGAACCTTCCAATAAGCTTAATATCAAATTCAAACCATCCATACGTAGCTTAAGCTTTCAATGGAACATAATTTAGTGTTCTTAACAACAATGTAGGAATAACAATGCAACAAATTCAAAGGAAGAAGGCAGGAGAAGAGGACATCTTCAAACTAAGCAAATTTGAGAGGATTGAAGTAGTAGTTGGTAACTTCAACTTCCTCAAAGGTGAAAAACCAGTTGAATCCCCATTTTGTAGTAGCAAAAAGGCAATGAGAGACAGCGTAGAAGGAGTCTGCAAAGACATTGCTTGGGGTCAAAACAGGGAAGTGGGAAGAATAGGACTGGCTTTACAACATCACATTTGTGGGGAATTGATTGAAGAGTTGGTAAAAGATTTGAAATTTTGTTCTACTTTTAATTATAGTTCACTACCATTCGAGGCTTGCAAGAGAAGACTATGTTTGTAGTGTCTTTTTGGCTTGTCAATATAGCATAAACTTATCCATTCTTTGATTTCATAGGTGATAAGTATTTGATATATATATATTTTCTTTTTTTTTGAGTTGAATATATAGGAGTGGAGATTTGAACTTCCAACCTTTTGATTGAGAATATATATCTTAACCAGTTGAGTTATTCTTAAGCAATGTTTTAAAGATCGATGTAGATGAAAATGTCGATGTCCAATTTCATAGAAATATTGATGAAATGTCGATGTCAATGGATATTTCTGTATAAATTTAGAGATTAAAAAATCGTAAAAAAATATTTAAATTAACAAATAAACATTTTCCTATTTTTGAATAAGTTAAAAAATAATTAATCTTAATATTATGTATATATTAGCAATATTTTGTTGATATTTTTCGATGTTTTTGTACTATGATGGAAATGTCGATTTACCCCTAATGTCGATGTTGAACCTGAGGATATATRAACATGTCAATAGATATGTCGACGTGTCGAAAGATATTTAAAACCATGTTATTAAGTTATCATTTGAGTTGTGTTTATAGATTGTTATTAACTATTAGTACTTTTTTTAGATTCAAATCTAATTCTTGTTGTGGCTGTCATATCTATAACCATTATTGTGTTAAAATCAAAATGTAGAATGTTGGATTATGTAGATATATCAATCATATACTTATTATAGTATATCACAAATATAGTTGATATATCAATGAAAAACTTACAAGTAATTTTAAAATCTTTAACTTGAAGATTTATTAGTAATATACTTAATTTATATCATACATTTATTTAGTATGATTGATATACGTATATCAATTATAAAGCTAAAATATCAATTATTCAATATGTTAATTATATATTTCGTATTAGGTGAAGATAATGTGGGCAAATCACAATAACCAAAAAACCGAAAACATAATTTCAAAAAATGTCATATTTTACAAATATAAATTTATAAATATGACAAATATTTTTGCTACTCAATAAAAATACCGTATAAAATAACAATGCCAATGGTAAAAATAAAAAAAAGAGAGGAGGAAAGTAATAAGGGATGGTATKTACAAAAGTAATTTAAATCACTAGATTGAGATCATTTTCTTGTGTGCACTGATATTATAGGAATCAATATTCTCCCTCGCAGAACATTTCTACTGTATTAGTTTTCCTTGTGCATTTTGTAATCCCATGAATTTCCCATCATTAGTAAAAAAGTTTCCTGTTTTTTCCTACATCAACATGGACTCTCACAATAGAAAAACTTGAGAAGCCAGACTAAATATTTTCTATTGAAAATGGGATGATGAAATGGTTGGAACAAAGACAGAATCCTAATGTCACCCATTGAAGGGTTAATTCAATAATCCCAGTATAAAATTGTCACACTTTGCAAGGTATAGCAATTACAATTTCAAGGGAGAATGAGAACTATAAATTGATTATACAATAAGTACCAATAAACAGAGAAATGAATTCTTGGGAGTTCTTTTCTAACAGAAGACCACTTCTGCAACCTATGGAGGATTCAGAGCATCTTCACTTCACAACATATCCAACTTGTTGCAGTTCATGATTGGTTCAGCTCATTCACTTAATAAGGGCTCTCCACATCTCCACAAATTTCACATCCAAAACCCCTCTTGGTTAAGGATTGAGTTGAGTTGAAAAATCCTATATGGAAATGCTTAAAAGACTAGAGAGTTCAAAGCAACTACAACTTCACATGACCAAATGCTCCTTTGAAGGAACCATAAAGTGGCTGTGATCTTCTGAAACTGAAAATATCATCTATTTTTACTGTGTCAGGTTGAAGTGGTTGACTTAAATCCGAAGAATACTCTGAAGAATGAAGATTTCCGTAAACCCGAACACTTAGAGCCTTCTTATGAGGTGCACCAACTTTTATGTGTTCATTGAAAAAGTTGATCAATTCCTGATGTGCGAGTGTCCTTAATGTTGCAACCTGGTTAAAACCAGCGGTAATAATAAGCAGAGATGAACATTTCTTTCTTTACTGCTCAGAATCTACTAACAAGGTCATGCTCGGTAAAAAGTCTGCTTACAATTTTCTGTTTCGAACGAATAAATTGTTTACTAAAAATTTATTTATATTGTCTTCCAGTCTTTACATAACAACTTGAATATTTTATCCAAATTTCAAAAACAAAACATAGAATGTTTCTATTATTTTTGTAGGATTTTAAAACTATTTAAGTAGATTCTTGATAAAGAAATCGTCAGTGGTAGTGCATAGATCATGTCCTGAAACATCATATGAAAAACTTGAATATAATGACTTCAAATCATACCTCTGATTCTCTCCTATCGAATTTCAACGTCCCATCAGAAATCTCCCGCCAATAAAATCCAGATTCTTCCCTCAAGTTCTTGAATTTCTCAAGCTTCATATCTATTAGAGCATTTACATTGCTCTGCACAACCACCAGTTCATAAACAATGCAAATGATAAGTATAACACAATCCTTTGAAAAGCTCAGTATCTGAAACAAACAGACTCATACCAAAGAAGTCCCAAACAAACTTTGCCTAAAAGTATCATGATATTTTGCAACTACTATGGTTAGGGATTTCAGACACACCATATATGATGTCCCTTTTTGTTCCTTGAGTACTGCTCCTTAGTATTCATACATTAATCTACATGTTAAAAATGTAAATGGCATCTTTACCTTTTAGAAATATTGGGTATGGTATATAACTTCATATATATTCTTTCAATGCAAATATCATGATATAAAACAAAGTCAAAGAAATTCATTAAAAATGCATATCGTTATAATGTTTTATAACAGAGGGTGTTAAAGGCAAATTTGTGTGTATGAATCCTAGTGATCATACACAGTATGAATATACTTCTAATTTCTAATACACAGTACGAATATACTTCTAATTTTTTTTTTTTGTTTTTTTTAATGTCATGACCCCTAGCATGTGTTTCTTAAATAAACTGTAAACAAATAATGTATAAGTAAGCTATTTAAATCATTATACACTGATTTATTGTAACATCTTCCCCCAAGTTAGAGCATTTATGTTAGTCAAGTCAAACTTGATTACAAAAATAGTCTATTCATGCTCTACTGATAATGTTTTTGGGAAGATATGTCCCAAGTGCTATCCAATCAATGCGTTTAATTTGTTCACTAAATAATGGATTAGAAGCAACATGAAGCATCAATTGCGACACCACATTTTGTTTCGATTTGGCACTTGAGTGTAAGACCACATTCTGTTTTTCACTCTTCCATGAAACTAAAATGCCCTCAAATGAAAATATGAGAGCTTTGATAATAATTGATCTTTTAAAAAAGATTCAACTTTAGTATTGACCATCATCTTTAAGATTACATCTACTCCGTTTTAACTTCTGAACTAAAGATCAAGCTTCAAGCAGCCCATCATATGGGTATTAAACTATCTTCTCTTCTCTAAAGTACCCAGTCAAATGCATCTTTCCAATTGAGCTACTTGATAAAATTTTTAGTAGCTAATTGTCGCCAGAAAACATGCAGCCACCACGTTCTATGTTCATCTAATCATACAATGACAATTACTACTCTCACCTTGAATTCATCAATGGTCATGTCAACTAGCTTACTCTCAAACATCTCTAGGAAGGCTTCAACTCTCAAATCAATATTTCGAGGACCCTGCCACATCAAAATAAGGAGAATATCCATGAGGTGACAAGGATACAATAGCAGATGAGATCATGACACTTACCTTCGCAGTGGATTGGATAATAAATTGAAGTCCRCGGATACCAGAGTCATTCCTGCATTTCAAGATAAGTTAATTACTTTGGTAAATTTTCCAATTGAATTGGGTTAAAAGAAATTTTACCTTTGCATTAGAAAAGTAATATAGCCAAGTTGTTCAACAGTTCTAAGCTGATGAAAAGCTGATTGTTTTGCCACAAGAGCAAAAAGCTGAAGCTTCACATTCTGTAGAAAGTCATCTCGATGCACCTAAACATTAAAGATAGCAAATTGCATCAAACCTTAAAATAAAAGAAGAGTTTAGTAGAATTTGGCTGAGTAACAGAGAGTTCCTTCATGTCATCTTATTTCTTTTGTATAACTGTAAAATTTAATTTATCATGTTTCACTGTAGTACGTAGTTTCCAACATAACATAGGGTTTTCGGAGATTGTAATTTCTCTTCACAAAAATTATAACAAATGCTTATTTTTCTACACGGTCTTAGAGCAATGCTGTGAAAAGACCTTAGCATGCAGCTTTACTTGCACCCAGTAAACATAAAGAAAGAAACACTAGCAGCCAGCCAGCAAGGTTGTATAGATCTATTCCAGTTCGTCGGACTCAATGATTTCACAAGCCTAGAACGAAGACTTGCCCATTTAGAAGAAACACGGGATAAGTAACTACTCAAACTCAATGATTTCCAAAGAAACCAATACAGCTTTCATTAAGGTCAGTATATCCGGCCAATTCATCAAAGACGAATCGAACACAGACAGTAAAAACCAGGAGCCAGGAGCTAATAAGCAAGGCTATCAACAAAAACAGGTAGAAAGGTTAATCCTTTTCCTTGACCAACCATTGGCAAGTGCTTTAGATGTGAGCAGATGGAAAAGATGGATAATTAAGCTTGTTGCAAGTCTACATGACCATACAGGCCCTCAACAAGTCTATTCATCTTTGACATCAGCAGCACCATGATGCCTCGTAAGATCACAACTTCAAATGTTGATCTCTATGATGATACACATGACCCATTCAACCATTAGGAGAAAAATTAGGGTGAAGAAGAAGAGAGAAGGGAAATGAAATTAGGAAAAAATTAAGGTTTACTTGACTTCTTTGTTCAATTTTGCGTTTAGGATAATTTTTTAAAAAATATTAGCATATTTAACATTATAACATTAATTAAAAAAATTAACATATATGGGCTATTGACTGGGCTTATTAGCCAAATTAAAATTAGTTGCCTGGGCTTATGAGCAAAATAAAATCACTTACTAAATCTCATGGACTGAAATAGAGTTTATCATAAAAATATGATGAGAGATCCACAAGGATCCTCACTCTAAGGTAGACTCCCAGGCTCTTAGTTCTTAGGAAGTTTTTTCTTTCAATATTCGCCAAAAGTTTAAACATTTACTTATTACTTCTTACTTGTCTGGGTCTGAGAGAGGGGGGGCATGAAACCACCTCGCCAAGTCTTATAATGCACAAGTGACAGGCAGTTGAATCAATGATCCTGCAACTTGTCAGAGAGCCTTTCACCTCTCAACCATAGGAAATGTTATCTCCACCAACTAAATTTTGTTTCATCATTCAAATCTAGGTACTAATACCCACCCCACCCACCCACAGACACACCAAAGGAGAAAAGAACCCGGGGAAAAATAAGAAAAATATTAATATTGAAGGAAAATAAGTGAATTAGTTTAGAACCTGGATATAGTGGACAAGAGCCGAATTTTCATCATTTGGGTTAAGACCCTCTGCGGAATAGAAATAACCAATGCCCCTCGCAAGCTTCACAACTCTATTTGTTGGATGCTGCGATGGATATAATGGTCGTGATATTGGATTTGGCCCCTTGAAAAATATATCTTCAATGTGTTCGATCATTGATTCAGATTCATTCCTTTCAATGTTTCCTGAATAATTAACCATTAAAGTCAAAAGCCTGTGATCCCTAAGATGTTCAAGAGAAGAGAAAGTAATACAGACCTGCAATGTAACATTCCAAGCAAGCACTTGAGAGCAAAGTTGGAGCAAATTTAACTAGATCTTCAGCCCCCAAATGTGGAAGGATTGCAAGTTCCTCCATCAATGGCCATGTGTGATCTTGAAGTATTAATGAACAATAGTACATAGCCTGCTGATATGGCTGTTGAAACTTGAAATTTTGGTACTCCTTCATCACAGTTTCCTAATAGAAAAATCCAATGTTAAATAAGACAATTTCCAACAAATTCACACCCTGAAATAATTTATTTAACTTCAAAGTGACGTATTGCATTTTGCTACCTAATCATCCACCTGCCATTTAGTGACAGTTATTAAATCTTTTTCATTTCTACTTCAAGAAGTACTTAACTATTTACTTCAGTACGTAGTTCTTAAAAAAAGAAAAACAGAACTTTTCATAGATTCRATGAGTACAAAACCTTTGATTTACTTCTATTTTTATTAGTTGAATGAATTTTTTTTTGGATAAGAATATTGATTGAATGATGCAATCTCCTAACATACCATATAACTAATTACTTAAATAATAAATGCTCTAGTCTTTATTTATCTTGTGCAATTTTAATAGCCTTGGGGTGGGCGCGAGTGCACAAGAGAGCAACACTCTGACTCCCAGTTATCCATAAAAGAAAAAAAAAAATTTAATATAGATAATATCCCAGTTTCAACTTTAATTAGTGGATAAAATCTGGTTTCAACTCCTATTAATTAAGGGCTAGTTTGGCATTGATTGGTGTGACCAATTTAGGAGAGAATCTATTAGCTTGGAGATTAACCCAAAAGAGAATATAACAGCCTATTTTCTACGGCTTTACAAGGTAAGGTAGCCGTTAGGCATAAGTAACCAGCTAATAAAAGATCTAACCACCAACCAGATACTTAATCGAATATTGAATAAGAAAATAGTTAGTTACATCACTGATTTTCAAGGCCTTCAAAGTCATTATGATACAATTTTAACCGTTTCTGTTGTTGGGTAAAACTTATTCTATATTAATTTAGTTAAATTTCTTTTATTACGTGATTAGCAAAATTCGGACAGCTTTTGAGATTAGATTCCCCAAAAATCTGGTACCTCTAACAAACTTTCAAGAAATACCTTTTTATCTTTTAAACGATTTCATTATTCTTTTTTTTCTTTCTCATCAATTTCAAACTTAGATTTTCTAACCCATGGAGCTCCCTCAGTCGATTGCTTAGGTAGCATGGTTTCAAAGCAAACAAAACATTTTTAGCCATTCCAGAGCTTTTTTACGATAAGTGTCAAAATAGTAGCATTAGTTAATATTTATGTATTTTTAAAATTTAAGTTTTTAATCAAGTTTCATTAATTCTACTTTTTTTTTTCTAATCTTCTAACAAATAATTTAAAGTAAAAAAAAATATAATTTAAAATTTAAACGTATAAAAATCTAAATAATTATTTTGTGAAAAATTTATAAATTATCATATCAACATAAAGATTATATATAATTGAAATAATATGCAGACTTTGGTCATTATAGCTTAATCACAACAATTTAGTTTTAATTTACCAAACACTATAACCTATTTAGTTATAATTGAAATTTTCTCAACACTTAATTTACTTCATTTTACAGCTAATTTGTTCTAAAGCACAATTAACAGCAATTATTTACATAATTGCAACTATTCCAAACTAGGCCAAAGAAGAGAAGATTTCGATGTTAAGATAGTTTATGCATATGAATGGCAACAATACCTTGATGACGAGAAATCTATCAGGTTTCACATTGAATCTTGCAATTTTTTCAACTACAGTTTCCAGTAGAACCCTTAATTTGTGGTTATAACCGATCAGAGTCACCTAAAAAACAACAATTTAAAAGCAAGAGAGAAATTATGCATTTGATGAGGAGGTGACAAGTTATGAAGTCATAATCTAGTATCAGTTTTGACAGATCATGCACCAAAAAAGAACAGCAAGCCTATCACAAAAATGAGTACTTTTTAGCAAAGCGCTGGTAAGATTATGGAATAAGTCCAAAACGGAATACTTATCCTATATTTATCAATTACTTCCCTAGGGTATGTGGCACAAATAATACACTTTCTACATAGTGTTATCAATTATCTGAATCAGATGGAACAAAAATGGAGTAAAYGAATAGCATTCAAGTAATTCAGCAAAGTGAATTAAACTAAGAATAGTATTTACATATTTCATAAATCTGCCACGAGTAACTCCTTGTGGTCTGAAGTCTGATGTAAGACAACAATGTGCATAAACATAGCAATGACTGAAGCCTCAAACATAATGCTAAAGATTATCAATGTGCTTGATAGAACTTAGCTACTATTGATATATAGAATACATATCCAAAAGGGAGATTTCGGGAGCTCCTATCTCTCTTAAACCAAACSAGAGCAATATCCAAAAGATACCTCTCTTCTCTACCTAAGTAAATATATTGGCCATGTTGAGAATCTATATAAATGAATTAAATTTATCCAACCCATCAGCTTAAACTTTTGAGCTGAGTGGTTGTCCATTCATCCTTAACATGGTATCAGAGTGGGATGTCCTGTGTTCGAACCTCTGCGTTGTTGTCTTTCCTCCCCATTTATAATGATTTCCACTTGTTGGCGTTGTGCAATTATCCAAGTCTACAATTGAGGGGGAGTGTTGAGAGTCCATATAAATAAATTAAATTTACCCAACCTATCATCTTAAGCTTTTGGGTTAAGTGGTGGTTTATTTATCTTTAACAGGCCAAATAAGGTCACATTGCAATTAGCAGCTCTGAGCTTCCACTGGAGTCATGTTATCAACAAGTCTTCTACTGCAACAGCTAGGTCGTAGAAGTTTGTATGATACTATCCAGGCTACATATTGCCATGGCTATATCGTCTTGGACCATGTCACCCCATAATTCAACTTTGTCATGAAAAGTCATAAAACTTCTCATGCCTTAACAATCTTACTCGAGTTTTTATACTCTGTTACACGTGGTGAGGTTCTCTTTCTATTTGCCCGACAACCAAACTAGTCAGAGGCATAAGCATTGACTTGGCACTTATGCTCATTAACTCATATGCTTTTTCATTGAACACATCTCCCTCATGCATGCATCCTGTTCCTGTACCCCTATATGATATTTTATCTTAAGCGGCTCAAGGTCATCTTGCCTATTCAATCGGCAAAACACCTAACATATCAATTCCTCTTCTCTATACCAAGGCATTATCAATGCTTAGATGCTTGTTTATTTTCTTAAGTGGCTTATGATTGACCCATTTTAGCCCATGATTGGGACATCCCTCGAAGTACAGCCACCTTGCTATGTGAGATAAGGCTGTCACAATCCATGCTCATGACTAGGGGTGTCTTTATGCACCATCATTTGCCTATAGGCATCATTCTTTCAATCAAACAAGAACTACTTTTTTTTTTCTTTTTTTATTGAGAAACCAAATTTTCATTGAGAGAAAATAAAAGAATATACCAAGGCCATAGAAAAAACAAGCCCAACAAAAGGGAATCCACTTATAAGAACAGATCCCAATCAAACAAGAATTACTTTAAAGATAGACCATAACTAAACTTCCATCCTCTTGGTCCTAGCATGACATACCAAGACTCATGCCTATGCCAATCCAAGATCAAGTACTCATCCAAAGACTAGCACCAAGATCGAAACCTACTGCTTATTGGACGAAGAATGTGCCCATTGACACTTTCCAAGGATTCTTATACCTATTAACTCCATGGATTTGATGGAAAATCAACTAATTTCGTACAAAAGCCAACTTGTCTCCCAAAGATAAAAATTGGAATAAATTGAATCCTTTTTTAACTTATGATTGGATGGAAAATTAATTTAGCCCCAACTCCTTGATCTTTTGGCTGATCAGGTTTCATGTGCCGCCACTTTTGCATCATTCAAAGAAAGTTCCAATTCGGCATTAAAATGATACCTGGAAACCAGCCTCTGTAGGGTTTATGCCATAATATAGTCCAGCAACCTGAGCACTATAAGCTGCAAGAAAAGAAAAATTTAGCTTCCGTCCCTTGAGATTCTTAGAAAATAAATTTGAGAAGCTTACAAGAAAAACCTTTTATTTAAAATTATAAATAAGACCCTAAATACTATGGGTGTTCACAGTTAGGTCCAGTTCGAGAGCCAAACCAAAATTGAACCGAATTATAAAAAAAACCATGCTGAACCAAAGTTGGTGAGCAAACTGCAAACTGACAGTTTGATTGGTTCAGTCTGCAGTTTCATGGGCAAAAAAGAAAACTGAGGGAAAGGAAAAGGATGACAGGGGAGGGGAGACACAGCTGACATGTCATAATTTTTGGCTAAGAAGCACAGAAAAGGACACGCAACATGGACACGACACGGACACGGCGACAYGCCAATTTTCGAAAAAGTAGGACACGCCACGCTGGGGACACGTTAATTATTTATATGATTTTTAATTAATATTTAAATGAGAATGATTATATATATATAACTCTAGCCTCAAATTCTCTCATAATAAAGGACTTATTTTCATCTTTGATTCCCTCTTCCCACTCTATAATCTAGCCCTAGTTTTTATCTATTTTATCACAACCCGCTACCTCCTCTCCTCCTCCTCCTTTCTCAACGTTGCTGCGTCTTCCTTCTTCTTTATCTTCTTCTYTGTTCACCTATCTTCTATAAGTTTGGGGGAGTAGTGACTTTGGGTTGATTTTTATTTGGTTTCTAGAGAAGAAAGAACTAAAGGCCTCTAGCTTGATCGTCGGTTGATGAAGAAGAAATAAGAAAACTAGGTAAAAGGGGAAAAATATTAGAATCTGGAAGTGGAAGGAGATCGAAAAAAAGACAATCGCGTGGATTGGAGCCCTTTTATTTAGGGGTTCCCCTTTGTTGGGCTGTTTTTTTGTATTCCCTCTTTGTTTTTTTTGTATATTTTTCATTTCTTTCGATCAAAATTCTGTTTCTTATCAACAAAAAAAAAAAAAGACACTTGCATGTCCCAGACGTGTCTCGAGCTTGTCCTCAACGTGTCGGATTTTTTAAAATTAAAAAAATAAAAAAATATTTTCGGACACGTGTCGTGTCGGACACCGACACTTCTTCATTTTGAGCGTGTCTGTGCTACCTAGATTTCTGGGATTGGGATTTGGGAAGCCAATAATAATAATATACATATAAAACCCCATACAGAAACTGCAACACCATATTTTGGTTTTAAACTTTTGAAAAACCGAACCGGAAACTGCATAAACCGAAAAATGGGTTCGCTTTGGCTCAATTTTTTTTTTTTTTTATATTTTCAGTTCCATCAGTTTCAGTGTGCGACCCTAGTAAATACAAGTAAAGTTGCAAGAAAGATTAACAGAATATTATGCTATTCTCAGTAAATCACAGAGAAATTAAACCAACAGAACAAAAAAGAAGAGACAGATATAGAAAAGGAGAAAAAGGAACAAGAACAAGAAGCTGTGAGAGTCCTAGTAGGGATAGTTTGAGAATATTATTAGTGGGATATTATGGTAATTAGTTAGGTCTTAGGGGTGGGTTGGATATAAATAGAGGCTAGTAGGGAGAGAAGCGGGTATCTGGGAGAATAGTTAGTGTGACGAACTTGAGAGAGTTCTTGAGAGATAGCCTCCTCAAAAGGCTATTGATATTGTAGTTTCTCTTTAGAAGATTGCAATATAGTTATCTTGGTTCGTTTGGTATATATGGGTTCCTAACATAAGCCTAGCAAAATACCTCTTTTACTTGGAATAACTTACCGTATTCATTCAAATAATCCATCAATAACCTCGTGAAAATATCCGTTAGGACTTCTGCTTCAGGTGAGATGCCAGCATGAGGACATCTAAAATCAATCTTAACATATGCCTTGGGCGTGAAGAACATTGTGTCAGGTTTGTACCATAATGTTGAATATGATGATTTTCTTAGCAGAACTGGAAACTCAACCTGTTTCAACTTTCAACGGCCAATCATATTAGGAAAAACTTAAACCCACAGAAACTAATAACATCATCTTAATGTGAATAGTATAGTTCATATACAACCTTTTCATGTGCATCCTTAAGTGATAAATCGGTAGGGATGAAAATATTAGGAGCTGGTAGATGCAATTTTACGTCAGGAGCAGATAGCATCCATTCCTGCAGTAAAATAAATAAAATCGTAATTTTCATTTCCTTTCATAGACTTTGCAGCATTTTAACGAACACCCAAAAAGAACAACAGAAGAAAACATGTCAAACTTTCAGAAATGAAATTTAATTATGTACTCGAGACGAATGAATTGAAAATATATATAACATAGAAACTGTATTTGCTTCAATTCTTCTATTGTTTCCTAGCTAGAACGATTTAAATTCATAGACATTCACACCTTAAATCTGATGTAGTTAGTTGTTAGATATGAACACTATTGGTTGAGTTTTAGCTTCTTATATCCTTTCTTTATTTTGGTTTGTAGTTACCTTGTATTTAGTTTTCCAGCAGCCTCTATAAATAGGTGCTGGCTTCTCTAATATAGGCAGATTACTATTTCCTTCAAGAAACTCCAGCACTAGTGTCCATCAAATTGGTATCACAGCACCCAATTTTCAGGGCACTCTTATGGCGGGAAAGAAGCCAGCCACCAACGGTGATTCTTCTCTTGTCAACAAAGAAATTGAACAAATTTYTATCCTCTCACCACGATCATCAACCGCACACTTGTTGTCGGTTGAAGGAGAGGCTAAAGCCATCCAACAGGACTTAGGTGAGATTAAGCAGATTTTGGAAATCATCCATGAGAAACTCGAAGCTTTGGCTATGCAGCAATTCCCGGTTAGAACCACCACACAACACCGAGCAAGAATGGATCAAGAAGTTGGGTTGGATGGCCGAAGGACTGCCTATCCACAAGAAAAGCAGACAGCCCCACCAAGAAGACCCAAGACAATCAATTTGGGACCAAGAAACTTTCAAGAACCGAAACATCTTCGCCCAAAAGTCAACCGAAACCCTTTATTTCAGCGGCGAAATGAGCTGACGTTTGATTCCTCGAGCAACGAAGAAGACAAGGTATTAGCCTATGAAGGTGAGAGGTTTGGTAGGTATCCTAACCCAATTAGACAACAAGAAAATAGTGAATACAAGATGAAAATTGACCTTCCTAGTTTTAATGGCAAAAAGGATATTGAGCTGTCTAGTTTTAATGGCAAAAAGGATATAGAGGGATTTTTGGATTGGATAAAAAATGTAGAAAATTTTTTCAGCTATATGGGAACTCCCAAATATAAGAAGGTTSGGTTGGTAGCTTTAAAACTAAAAGGGGGAGCGTTTGCTTGTTGGGATCAATTGGAAGTTAATAGGCAACGTTATGAAAGCAACCTATTAGGAGTTGGGAGCGTATGAAGAAACTTATGAGAGAGTGTTTTCTCCCAATCAATTTTGAACAGATCTTGTACAATCAATATCAAAATTGTAAACAAGGTTCAAGATCCATAGCCGATTACACGGAAGAATTTCATCGCTTGGGAGCAAGGACAAATCTAGTGGAAAGCCAACACTACCTAGTAGCAAGATACATTGGTGGGTTGCGAGCCGACATTAAGGAACAATTAGCTTTGCAGCCGATTGGGTATCTAAATGAAGCTATTTCTACGGCAACTATCATTGAAGAACAGGTTAGTAACCACTTCAAGAAGCAATATTCAAGAAGGAACAATTGGGAACAAGGAGGGACGTCCAAAAAGAATGTTGCTTCCAGCGATCTTCTTTCTTCCCCAATCCATACCTCTTCTTTCTTCCCCAATCAATGTCTCTGCCACAACCAAAGGTAGGCAACCCGAACTAGATCTTGTTAAGGATAAACAAACTGGCAATGTTGCAGGCAAGAAGAGTGGAAACACGTACAGCCAACCAACATTGGGTAAATGTTTCCAGTGTGGACAAACCGGGCATTTATCTAATGAATGTCCTCAGCGAAAAGCTACAACCTTGGTTGACGAGGAAGACGGCCACGAGGACAGCAGTGAGGATCTGGAAGAGGATATTGATTATGTCGAACCAGATGAAGGAGAACTGGTTTCTTGTGTTCTCCCACGGGTATTGCTGACACCTAAAACCGAAGTAGCCTACCAATGACATGCTCTTTTTAAGACAAGATGCACAATCAATGGGAAGATTTGCAATATCATAGTAGATGGTGGCAGTGGCAGTACCAAAAATATCATTGCAAGTAAGTTAGATACAGCTTTGCATTTACCCTTGACACCTCACCCTGCTCCATATAAGGTGTCATGGATTAAGAAGGGTGGTGAAGCACAAGTCATCCATACTTGCACCATGGCCCTGTCCATTGGTGCTACTTATAAGGATCAAATTGTGTGTGATGTGCTAGACATGGATGTGTCATGTGTTGCTCGAATGTCCATGGCAGTAGGACACTCAAGTTCTACATAAAGGATGAGATAAGAATACTTATGGATTGGTAAAAAGGTGGTTCTCCTACCCTTGAACCCATCTAAATCCCTTGCACAAAAAGAAAATGGCAAAGGGAAAGGGAGTCTGTTCACCATTGCTTCAGCTAAGCAATTACTTGCTCATCCAAAGGAGCCCGTCCTTGGTTTGATTGTAAAGGAGTTTTGCTCGGATAATGGTAGCACGGATATTCACCCGATGGTCCAACAATTATTGAATGATTTTAGTGACATTGTTGAA